GGGGACCATTCCATTCTGGTGAAACTATAGAAACGAACAGGTTAAAAAGTTCTCAAGAAATGCACTCATTTGATCCAGTGATTCTACTTTTAGAAATTTATCCAAGTAGAAAAAGCAGGAGCTCCGGTATCGTAGTGCCTAAGGCACTTGACTGCTAACCAGAAGACTGGCAGTTCAAACCTACCAGCCACTCCTCGGAAGGAAGGTTGGGCAATCTACTTCTGTAGTGATACCGCCTCAGTAACCCAAGGAGGGGTTGCTATGAGTCGGGTCTGACTCCATGGCACATAACAACAAGTAGAAAAGCAGTACAACTTACTGAGCTGCTATTCTGTACCAGCTCAGTATGTTCATCACTTTAACTGATGCTTGAAGGAGCCCTCATTGCTAAGTGCCCAGCTACTTGCCAAAAGGTTGGTGGTTGTCTGTGACAGGAAGATGTGGCACTCTGCTTCCACAAAAGATTACTGCCTTGGAAACCCATGGGGGCAATTCTACTGTCCTACAGGGTCGCTGAGTCAGAATCAACTCAATGGCAGTGGGGCTTTGGGATTATCTGATGCTTACAACCTGCCAGAGAGGTGCTATAGCTTTGCCTCCCCAAACCCCTAAATTGACAAGTTATATACAGAACTTCTAGGGCAGGCATCATTATGTCTCAGCATCAGTTTTTCGTACATGTATTGCCTTTTTTCGGATGAGGACGCTGGAGCTCAGAAGTGAAGAAACAGCCACAAGGTAAGCCACACCTAGTAAACAGCAGAGCCAGAACTGACTCTAGGACTGTGCTCCCCACACATGGCCACACTCTGTCTCTCTATCTCTCTCTCTCCCCCAGACTAAGAAGAAGTCTTACACATTGAAGTCTTACACACTGCTTCATTTCGATAACTTGTTACCTGAATGAGGGACAGGAGCAAGTGGATAATCCAGTTTCAGAGGTTCCTGGGTTTTGCAGGCCTGATGGTTTCCCTCCTAACACCCCTTTCCTTAGCAAAGATGATTAAGAGACTGAGGGAAAGGCTGCCCCTTGAAGAAGCAATCAGGACTAGAAAATGGTTAGACCAGGGCTAGTTCCGGGAACAGGGGGCCATAAATCTGAAGTTATATACAAAATTGTATGTTCATGTGTGTCTGAGATTTTCAAGATTCTCAGAGTGTCAGTGGCTCCAGAAGTTTAAGATCCATTTCGAGGTGAACAGAGTCCAGAGAAGGTACCCTACTATATACCTTGAGAACAGGGAGGGGATGACTGGCCTCCAGACCGGCAGGCGCTTGGAGTCTGCTGCCCCAGAACATGTGTCCTGATGCACCCTGGGAAAACGTCTCCCCACCCCCAGGATCTAGCCCAGGTCTAAGGCCTAAATGCTCTCTTGGAGAATATCCACCAGCCAGCAGCTCCAGCTCCTGCTGAGCCAAGCCTGATTCTTGCTCTCTGGGGAGGCCTACAGAAGAATTTTGTCTTAGAAAACTGAAGTGGCCTTTTCTAGGGCTGGCTCTGAAAAGATCCTCTTTTTTAAGGGTAGTTTGTAACTGTTTTCAGGAGAGGAGTCTGGGATGGGGAGGCAGAAAAGTGAAAGTCTGATTGATAAGGAAGGGGGGAGTATGGAGGGGAACTAGCAGTGGTCAGGGTAAGGACCTGGTAGAAATCAGCTGAGACCTGACCTGGGCCCAGTGCCTCAGGTGAGGAGTGTCCTTCCGGGTCCAGACCTTCCACCAAACAAAAAACGGATTCTTCCAGAGAGGGACTAATCAACCTATAACATGGAAACATTTCCTGCCTATAGAAGACCTAAAAATCTGCAAAAGCAGACCTACCTCCAAGCACACATTTTAAACTGGTTTTCTAGTCAGGTGGGTGAGGACATAACAGTGTAACGGTGAGTTTTACCTTCCGACCTACACTTCAGGAACTTACACCTCACTAGCCTAGTGGCTAAAGCACTTGACTGCTAACCAGAAGGCTGGCGGTTCAAACCCACCAGCCACTCCTCGGAAGGAAGGTTGGGCAATCCTACTTCCGTAGTGATACTGCCTCGGAAACCCAAGGAGGGGTCGCTATGAGTCCGGCCGACTCGAGGGCACATAACAACAACAACAAGAAGCCTAGATAGCTCTGGTGGTATAGTGCCTAAGGCATTTGACTGCTAACCAAAAGGCTGGCAGTTATCTGGGAGTCTATCCCAAGACTAGGGGAGCTCTGGCAGCATAGTACCTAAGGTACTTGACTACTAACCAGAAGGCTGGCGGTTCAAATCCACCAGCCACTCAGAAGGAAGTGGGCAATCTACTTCCCTAGAGATACCACCTTGGAAACCCAAGGAGAGGTCACTATGAGTAGAATTCACTGGACGGCAATGAGTTTGGCTTGATTTAGCCTAGATTTTACAAAATGGGGTAAACTATTTCTTCCTCTAAGAGTTGGTTTATTAAAGCAAGGGAGGTTCCCCAGCCCCCACTTTCTGTAAGGTAATTCAGCCCTTGGGTACCCCTTGACAAGGGGAGGGCATGTATAAAATCTTCCCTTTCCAAAAGAGGCTATTACAATCTTCTCCCTAGCCATAAAACCTATTTTGTCAGTTTTCTCAGGCCCTCTTCCCCTATCTTGGCAGCCTATTTTGAGGAAGGGAGCTTGAAAAAAAGGGAGCACAATCTTTACCCAAATTCCCTTGCTCCCACTTGGAGAAGGAAAGAATAATTGTTGCCAAGCCACCACCTACTCGTGCCCTCAAAGTGAGGGTCCAGGAAGAAATGGACCCAAAGCACATAAAGCAGGAACAGGGAAGGGGGGGGGTAGCTCTCCCCAAACCTTCAACAAGAGATCAGCACCTCTCTTTCCATCAGGCTCAATCCCAGCCTTTGGAAACCACCCCCCATTCAAGTGGTTTATCCATTATTTCCAGGAAAGGCACTCACAATTTGTAATTTAACTCTTTCCTGCAGCCCTTGTGGGGTTCCTTTAGAATCCTGCAACAAATGGAACTTCTGGGCCATGAAACTTGTCCTCCCGTCTTTTGATAGCTGAGTGAACCTCGAACCTCACGTTGAGTCTTCACATATTATCATTTGTTAAAAAGCTAGTTTCAACTTAAAATGATAGCCATTGGCACAAATGCTTTGGGGAAGATTATATACATGTATGTATTTATATATTTTAGGGGTGGGCTCTGCTGGAATCTCCAGGCTTCATAAAATTCCAAACAAAGACCCACATACGAGTTCAATTACTAAACATTTCCAGTTTCCCTCCCCCAATGTAAACTAACACAAACACTTTGAAGTAGGGGTTCTAACTTTCTCCCTTGTTCCAAAAGACAGCCAACAAAGGATGGAAGGCACCATTTTCCCCAACACCATACAGCCATAAAGACAAGGCCTGGGGCTGAGAGCTGCATCTCCACTCCTCCACCCTACTTCTACCAAACAGGCCTGGGGAGAGAGAAAGGGGAGGTGTGGTTTGGTTAAACTAATAAAATGTTACAACCCTGTTAAACACAATTAAAGGGCTAAATCTCTCCAAGATAATTAAATGCACTTTATTATTATGATCATTAGCTTTTAATTTTTACTATTATCAAGAAGCAGGAGATTGTGAAAATTTGAATTATGTGGCACTCTGTTCCACTCCACCCCTCAGTCTTCAATTCGAAGCTTTGGAACTAAAATTCTAAAATATTCCAAATAGCTGAGGGAAATGATGCGTGTTGGAAACTGGATTTCTCATACCAGCGTCAAAGATGCTTTATACATCACTTCTCAGGCTGTTAACTTTTAAGAAAAGTCTTGACTTTTATTTGTGGGGGGAGGAAGATAAGAAACATCTGTTATAAACATTCTATCAATCTTGTGATATAGAATGTCATGTAAACATTCAACCCCACCCCCACCTTCACAAAGAGCCTGCCCAGAGCCTTCTTTCAAAGCAGATACCCACCTTTTTTCTTTTTTCTGGACAAGTTTGAAAAGAAACCAGTCTTTCGTCAAAGGAAAACTAAAATCTCACCAAGCCCATCGTCCCCTCCCTCTAATCCAACCCACTTTTATTGCTTTTTGAAAAAAAATAATAAACCCCAAAGAAAACAAAAACCCACACATAATACACAAACCAATCCACAAACTGCTAACCTGAAATGCCAAAGAAGATATTGGGACCAGGGGACACTGAATGCAGGGGAAAGGAGATATGCAAGATCTTAAGACACCATTTGCCGGCAAATACTTAAAGGTTAAAGCTCTCCCTAAAAAATGTAGGCGGTCAGGATTGGTACTGAAGGTGGCTGTGTGTGCGGGGTAGGGGGTGTAAGGAGAGTGTGTGTGTGTGCGTGTGATGTTTTCATTTCAGAACACACTTCACAACGCACTTTGCCCACTCCAAGCGTTTGGGGCAGCGAGTTGAAAATAAGTCAGGGGAGGAAGATCTTCCTGCCTGCAGGGGAGTGGGACAGGAGGGTGGAGGCCATTCCTCACACTGCCTCCGCCCTCTCCCCACTACCATTCCCGTTTAACTTTTTTTTTGTTCCACGTCTCCATCTCGGTTGGGAGATCTCCAAAGATCGAGCGAAGGAGACAGGACAAGTGAGGAGAAAGAAAAATAAAATAAAACAAAAAGAATCCAAGGCTTATTCAAAAATATCCAACAGCTTCCACAGGCCCGGCGTCAGTGAGAAGGCTCACAAATTTGGCATCTATAGAAGTTGAAGGGTAACAAACTGCCAGCTCCTCCAAACCAACAAAAATAAGGCGAAGACTAGGTGCCTCTTCCAGCAGGCCCAGCCCAGCCAAATCACCGAAAACCGAAAATATTCGAACCAAAGTGGGGGAGGTTTTTAAAAGGGCACTTAAGACAGGAAAGAGTTCCCTCAGTTCCTCCCCCAGTCCTAATTTTTAAGCCCTGAAGCCCGCCACTGCTCTTTTTTCCTCCTTTTTTTTTAAATAGAAAATATATAATTAAATTTACAAAGACTATTTACAGTTTAATTACAAACCTGGAAGAAGGTGTTGGACAGGGTTCACTTTAAAAAGCGACCTAAAAAAGAGATGGTTTCGATAGTTCTTTATTTTAAAAAAATAAAATTAGGAGTCTGTAGGAGCCCGCCAGGCGGAGGAAGGCGCATTGCCCGCCACGGCCGGGGACGCGGCACAGGGGTCCCCCTCACACCGTGGTCTCGCCGTGCCGGCTGTTGGTGAGGCGGGTGTAGAACTTCCGCCACGAGTGCAGCGTCTTGCCGGACCAGATCCAGAAGCCCGACGTGATGCCCACGATGAGCGTCATGAGGTATTTGATCATGTACACGGTGAAGTCGGGCGACATGCGCGGCGTGTAGTGCGCCGGGCACGGGATGGCCAGGCTCTTGCAGTGCTGGCTCACCCACGAGCGCTCCCAGTGCTCACGGAAGGCCTGCTCGTAGAAGTAGCAGGCGATCACTATGGTGGCGGGCACCGTGTAGAGCACCGAGAAGACGCCAATGCGCACCATGAGCCGCTCCAGCTTCTCCGTCTTGGTGCCGTCATGCTTCATGATGGTGCGGATGCGGAAGAGCGACACGAAGCCGGCCAAGAGGAAGGACGTGCCGATGAACAGGTACACGAAGAGTGGTGCCAGCACGAAGCCGCGCAGCGGATCCAGGCTGTTGAGGCCCACGAAGCACACGCCGCTCAGCAGGTCGCCGTCAATCTGGCCCATGGCCAGGATGGTGATAGTCTTGACGGCGGGTACCGCCCACGCGGCGAGGTGGAAGTACTGCGAGTTGGCCTCGATGGCTTCGTGGCCCCACTTCATGCCGGCCGCCAGGAACCAGGTGAGCGACAGGATGACCCACCAGATGGAGCTGGCCATGCTAAAGAAATAGAGCATCATGAAGAGAATAGTGCAGCCCTCCTTCTTGGTGCCCTGCACCACCGTGCGGTAGCCGTCCTCTGAGAAACGCTCGTTGCACACCACGCGCTCCTGCAGCACGAACCCCGCTATGTAGGCCACGGACACCATGGTGTAGCAGCCCGACAGGAAGATGATGGGCCGCTCGGGGTAACGGAAGCGCTGCATGTCTACCAGGTACGTGGTGACAGTGAAGAAAGTGGAGGCACAGCATAGCACAGACCAAGTGAGGATCCAGAGGCGGGCAAAGCGCGTCTCCTCATGCGAGAAGAACATGGAGCCGTCGGGCCGCGCCGGCTCGCAGGGCGCCGCGCAGTCGCGCTCGCCCAGGAACTTATAGCTCAGATAAGACGGCACTTTTAGGACACGCGGGCAGTGGAACGGGTGCTCCACCGTCGCGTAGCGAGGGGGCGCGCCGCCGCCGCCTGGGCCTCCCGGGGTGCCCCCAGCTCCCGGCTGTAGGCCTGGAGGCAGCGCCGTAGTGAGTAGTGCCGGGGCGCCGTCCTCAGAGTGGTTTTGGCCCACGCAGATCTGCTCCGCGCCATGGCGGGGGAAGTGCTCGCAGCGCAGGCGCTCGGGCCACTGGAAGCCGAACTTGTTCATGAGCGCCTCGCAGCCCTGGCGCGCGCGCTCGCAGATAGAGCGGCACGGCGGGATGGCCTGCTCCAGCACAGTGCACACAGGCGCGTACATGGAACACAGGAAAAAGCGCAGTTCGGGCGAGCACTGCACTTTCACCAACGGGTAGAACTGGTGCACCTCCAGGCCCGCGTCCTCCTGGTTCGTGTGGCCCAGAAGGTTGGGCATGATGGTCTGGTTGTAGGCGATGTCCGTACACAGCGGGATGGAGATGGGCTGGCAGAAGCCGTGGTCCGGGATGGAAATGCCCTTCTCCCCGTGGAACTGGGCGGGCCCGGCGGTGGGCAGCAGCAGCAGCAGCGGCAGCAGCAGCAGCAGCAGCAGCAGTCGGGGCAGGGCGCTGCGGGGCCGCATGCTGGCCGCCGCCCCCACCCGGCTCTTGGGCGCCCCCCCCGCCCCCGCCCCAGCCGGGAGACCACGCGCCTTCCCCGCCGCTGCCTCGCTGCGGCCGCCGCCTCCCGCGCTTCTTTGCAAACTTTGCTCTAGCCGGCAGATTTAGGGAGGCCGGGCGGGGGAGGGGCAGCGCGCCAGCCCGCTAGCTCGCCAGGGTCCGACTGAGCCGTCGGAGTCAACGCGCGACGCAGCCCTCTCTCCTCCTCCTCCTCTCGCCTCTCCGTACCCCCTCTCCCCTCCCTTCTCCGCCCAGCGACTTCTTTGTGCCTCCTCCAGCTCACCTCGGCCTCTCCGATCCCAATTAGTCGGTTTCAAGGGGGCCCGCCGGCGGCCCCGCCCTCTCCTCAGCGCCCCAAAAAAGGGATTTTTGGAAACCGCCCCGTCGAGTTCGAAGCCCCGTCCCAAAAAATGTGCTCTTGGCCAATCAGATTCAAACCCAGGGATCAGCCCCGAGGGCTGGATTGGTCGACCACAGCTTAATGAGATCAGAAACCAGATGCCAACAAAACTTTCCCCCCCTCCTTTTGCTTTTTAAAGAGACAAGCTATTATTACATTAAGGGCTGTTTGCCCAACCCAGGATTTCTCCGGAGTCGCGGCGGCGAGATCCGGAGACTCATTCTCTAAGGCTGCAGCAGACCCAGGCCACTCAACCCTCTATCCCTCTTCTTCTGGGAACCAAGGCGCTCTCCTGGGCCGGAGCTCTTTACATTTTTGGTCCCCCACTTCCCTGCTCCTGGAACTCCATCAATCCAGTCCAATTTTTCAGATCAAATGAAGGAAAAAGAAGAAAGCATTTTAATACCACGAGACTAAAGGGGGAAAAAAAAAATAAGTTTACAAAGACTATTCTCTCTCACCTCCTTTTCAAGGAGTCCAGGCAAACGTTTCACTTAACTCTCTATATAGACTCCAAGAAGTTCGCCTCGCCCTTCCCCCCCCCACGCACACACCCTTAAATAGCCCTCTGAAAAATGAGAGGCTGTCTCTTTAAGAGGCTCTTAAAGGGGCCTGGACTCCGGGGCGTAATTGCCCCGTAGCGAGCACAAAGGAGCCCATTATGGTTCTTTGTGTTCGGTGGCACCTCAAAGTGAGAAAACTCTGGAACTCGGAGGCCGGGAACTGGAGGGATGAGGCGGGGATGGGGGGTGGGTAGGGTAAGGTGAAGGAGAATGGCCCCGAGCTGCGCCTTCTCCCTCCCCCTTCATCCGAGGCAAATCTTAATTATGCAAAGTAAAGTTTAGTTGCCTTAACGAGGAGGTCTTAATCGAAGGTTAATAGGGGGTTGGGTGGGGGGATGACGGGCCGCTCTGCGTGAAGAGACAATTCTTTTAGGCTCCTGATGAAGAAATGGGCCTGACGAACGTTTGGGGAAAAATGTCCTTCTCCCTGACCACCTCTGCCCCGCCCCAAAAAGCTTCCAACTATCTTGTCCTAGGGGTGCCCAAATGTTAAGTGAATCCAAATTTTAAGTGAATCCACATCGGAAAGGGATACTGTGTGTGACGAGAAAGGAGGTTGAAGGGAAAAGTGGATTATTCCCTAATTCCCCCATATCTCACCTGGCTTGTTGGGGGTGGCCAACCGGAATCCTATAGATTGCCCCCCCTCGGGATTTTAAATTAGAGACCGGGCCTCTGGAGGAAACGGGGGAATTTGCATGTAAATCTCCTGGGCCATGTAAATACTGGACGATGGATCAATTATTTCTATTGTCTCTCAGGAGGGAAGTGGGGGACTTAAAAGAAGAAAGAAACTTGAATTTAGAAAGCCCCTTTGCTTCTCGGTATGGATCAAGTCCTCCTCGCCTGGTGGGCTGTTTCCTGCTCCAATCTAGAAAAGGATTGCTTTTAAAGAAAGAAAAAGAAAAAAAATATTAAAAAAAAAGAAAAGAAAAGGATGGGGGAAGGAAAGAAAACTCCAAGTAGAGATCTAGGTTTGACAGAATAAAAACAGCCCCCCACCGCACCCAGCTGAATGATACAAAGATTCTCAGATTCTTTAAAACCTGAAACTGCTCTTCATCGTATCTGGAGAAGTTACCTTTTCCTTACTTTAGGAAGAACGTTTTCTTTAAAAATCAAGGGAATATGACTTTGTTCACCATCCTATTCATTTCCTTTCCACGCACAAATCCGCCGCCCTCCAGAGCAGTCTTGGGATGGGAAAGTTGCACTCTGCTCTATGGGGCCTAAACTAAGCCTGAGCTGCATCTCCTTCAGCAGCCCCCCCTTCCTAGTCCACTTCTGTGGCATGTTTGGAACCAATACCAAGTCCCAGGCAGCTGAGCGGAGCTGAATGGTGGAAACAAATATGAATAAGACAGGCTCCCACACCGGACTCTGGAAGCTCACAGTCTGATAGGAAATTGAGAGTGAATCTCCAATGTAAACACAGCATCTTCAATTTCCTCCCATGACAACCCCATTTTCCTGCCCTAGGGTCAGGCTAGGTTGACAGTTGTGCCCTCCCTAGAAGAGGGGCCGCTGAGGACTGGAGAAAGGAAATAAAGGACATTTCTTCCACCTAGTCAACCTTTCATTCCTTCAACACACTTCACTGAGACATCTCAAACCACCATTGGTAGGTGCTGTGTGTGATGTTGCAAACAACGACAGCATCCCTGCTCTTCAAGAGTTTACAGTGTCCCGGAAGAAGAGTGATTCTACGAAGACCTTATGTTTGTCTAACATGTCTTACATTAAATGAGGAATAATGATTATATTTCATAATTACTCTTGCCCTTCACATGAAAGAACCAAATATGAGCAAGACTGGAGGAGGGGGCCGTCCCAGCATCTTCATACTCATGGTCTACCCCACACTTTCTGCTCTGCCAACCTGCCTCTGGACTGCATGAGGCCCGTAACTAAAAAGAAAATTAATAGACTCTCAGTTTAAATGCTTTCATACTGACATTTAATAGATAAAGCACTTGTTCTTGATTTCAGTCTTAAAAGAAATACAAGGAAGTGAGGTTGGTGAGACTTAGAGTAACTTACTTTGGACATATGATCAGGAAAGACCAATTGCTAGAAAAAGACATCATGGTTGGTAAAGTAAAGGATCAACAGAAACAAGGAAAATCCTCAATGAGATTAATTAACGTAATAGCCACAACAACGGACTTAAACATACAAAGATCCTGAGGATACCACAGGTCTGGGCAATGTTCTGTTCTGTTAAACATAGGGTATTGAGTTGGAGCCTATTTGACAAGAGCTAACACCACCACAGACTTAGCTTGAGCACTGACCAGAGCATGGTCCCTAACTCTCACTAGCTATGCAGCCTTGAAACAGTCACTTCACATCCTTGAACCTCAGTTTCACACCTCAAACTGGGAAAAAGACAACAGATTATTAAAATGTGAGACCATGCATCCAAAATAATTTCACAATGATAAAACTAAGTTTCATAACAAAGTATCTTTCAAAACAAGAAGCTAATGAATTAAACATTTATTCAGCAAGCATCCTTGGATATCTCAGGTAATTACCATCATTCATTGAGAGCCTTCGAAGCCCTTCACATAGATTATGCATATGTCTACAAAGTGGGTATTTTATTTTGCTTATAGATGAAGAATGTGGCCTTAGCAATTTTCTCAAGGTTACATAGTAAGTGTTTTGTCTCCTATACTATACAACCCCCAAACATCCATAAGATTTTTGTGCTTTTATTCATTTGATAAATATGTATGGAGCACCAATTATTAGCCAGGCACTGGGCTGGGGCCATGGATATATAGTGAACAAGACACTCAACCCTTGTCCCTGTGGAGCTTGTATTCTAGTGGAAGAGATCCTTGTTCATCACACAGGCACTGACATGGATGTAAAATTGCAACAGGATTCAGTGTTGTGAAGGAAAGATCCACAGTGCTGTGAAAGGATAATCTGAGAGGGAATCTGACTGAGTTTGGCAGGTCAGAGGAGGGCTAGGTGGTTGATGTGAAGAGGAAAGTAGGAAAAGGTAAAAAGAAGTCAATAGGGATCAGACCTTCAAGTCCTTGCAGATGATGTGTGAGGTGCTGGGTGTCGAAATATTAACTCACAATCTAATGGGGAAACAGACACTGTAGAGACAGCCATTCCAGACAGAGGGAAAGGCATGTGCAAGAGCATGGTGGGGTGAAATAGGTGGAATGGACCCCCAGGAGTACAAGTACTTTGGCATGGTTACAGCCTCAGTTGCATCTGGAAGGGTAATGACAGAAGAGGCTGTTAAGTAAGCAGGGGCTTTAGAAACCCTGCACACAATCTGAGCACCAGGAAATGGGGATCCATTGGAGTGTTTAGGGAAGGGAGTGAGGGGATCACACTTAAGTTTTAGATAGTGCATTTGGGCGGCTGTGAGGAACACAGCTTAGGGGAGCAGTCTGGAATCAGAGATACCAGCTAGGAATCCATTGCAAGAGACCAGGCAACAGTTAATAAGGATGTGTGGCAATGTGGACAGAGAGGAGAGAGTAAGGGAGAAAGCCAAACAAGGTGTTTCATGTAGGTTCCCTGACGCCATTAACCAGACTATGAAATGCAAGGAAGGAGCAGATAATAAGTACAGTCAAACAAGACCAAGCATGTGGTACATCCAAGCAAAGCTGTCCAGAAGGCAGGTGGGTTTAGATCTCACACCTTAAGCCTGTAGTTACAGCTGTGAGTGTGGCTAAGAGCACCTAGGCAAGATGGATTGGGTGGGAAGGCCAAAGTTTTAGGGGATGCCAACATTTAAGAGCCGTAGGTCAGAGGAGGAAGAAGGCTGAAAGGGAGAGGTGGGGGGGTTCCAGTAAGATGGCGGAATAGGCAGAAAGACTGCACAGACCCTCTTCAACAAAGAAAAGGGGAACCAATTAACACAAATAGAGAAGATAATCCTGGACCCCTGAGCCTTGAAGGGAAGGATATAGAAGTGGACTAAACTCCAAATAGCAGAAGAATTTGCATCAAAACAACAAAAAAGGAGACATACAGAACTGTGGTCTGGTAGTGATCCTGACAGCACAGACAGCTTGGAATGGTGATAGGACCTAAGAATTAACCTAAAAATCAGCCCTGCTAGCCAGGGACTGCACAGAGGACTGCT